AGGGTCAGTGCTGATAAGTTCTTCATTATAAGTCTTATTGAAAACAATTTGACTTGTTCCACTGTTTAAGGAATTTTGTCGGGACTATGGCTATGCGAATGAAGAAATTACCTAACACTATCTCATGCGTTAGCTATCATACGCTAGGAGAAGATTTGAAATGTGTAAAGTTAGCGCACCTTTGCTTACTGATCAAATAGTTGTCACGCTCTAACTTAAGAGGTATAACCAAATTTATGGACTTGTCAAGTTGTAGGCTGCATTTTACTTGAATGGGGAAGTCCTGCCTTCTCAAAGGAACGTTTCTCGTGTGTTTATGTCTTCGGACTTTTCACTTTAAGATTCTTTAGGTCTAGTTTACGGGTATTATCTCTTCTATGCTTTCTAAACGAATTTTTACTTTTGTTCTCAGGTCGATTTTTTTTTGATGAAGCATTCAAAATAAATTTCTGGCTACAGGACTTGTGGTAAAAATTTCTGGATACGAAGATAAAATCAAAAAATGCTTTTGATGGTGCCAATAAAGCAAATTTCTGGTTACCGGATTTTGTATTAACCGCTAAGATATTTTATCACATTGTACTATTGCAATGTTTTTTTAAAATAATTTTTTTGTAACTGTTAATAAAAAATTTTTACTTTTTTTACAGCATAACCTATAAAATGTAGTTGAATGTATTGAATAAAAAAAAAAAATCAAGCCGCAGTGTGAGCGTGTTGAAAATAGAACAAAATTCCTAGTAATGTTGAGTTCGGGCAATTCACAGCAACAGCATCACACACAACATCAGCAACAACAACAACAACAACAACAGCAGCAACATCTTCATCACACACAACAACAAAACTCACAAAATCAACAAACACAATCACACACTGTCACGCTCTACGATGGCGATTTAAATTTCACAACATTCGCCGAACTGTGCCGCCTCTGTTCGATACGTAATGGTCCCGCCAAAATCAACCTTTTTGAGAAAGAAGCAGAGCAAAGGAATCTGATTTACAAGCTACGCACGCTATTGCCGGCGAATGTAAGTAAATTTCGCGTCGTCTATGTCTGCATTTGCACTTTCAGCGCACATTCAAGTGCCTGCCTTGAGTGGTGGGTACAGTGGGTGGTGGGTTGCGCTTAGAGTGGTGAATGGGATTTTCTTGCTCTTTTACTGTTACTGCCATTGACATTGGAGTCAAAGACAAAAACTTTATTGCGTTTATTTTTGGATTTACTAAGATTTTGTTTTTATTATTATTTGTTTTTTGTTTTTTTTTTCTTTTAGATTTCCAAGGACGACTTTTTGCCGAAAAATATTTGTGAAGGTTGCGTATTAAAGGTGGAACATTTATTCGAGTTTCGTCAGTCCTGTTTACATACAGAGAATATTCTCAGAAATTATGCGGACTCGATGCGAGCAGTTACGGCTACCATAAACTTTCAGGTACTTATAAAATGACATAATGATTATATTATAAAATTGTATTTATATATGTATATATATGGTATATACACATCGAAGCTTATATATAACCATGTTGATAACCAATTTTACAATAAAAAGGTCGGTCCTACATTGAAAATATATGAAATTTAATTCATAACACGCTTCTCCTCCTCATCTTTCACTTCTCAAATGACGAATGTTAGTCAGTGGTTAAATATAAATTAAATAATATAATATTAAAACTAATATATATTAAAATAAAAAAGCTCAAAAATATGTAATATAAACGTCGAATAAAATAAATGAAAAATACACGTTCCTTTTAGAGGAAATCACAATTGTGAATAAAAAAGTAATATGGTGACGTTTTAAGGTGCCCACAACGATATATATACACTCGAAACGTATTATGTTGTTGCCGTTTTGCACCGTTCGTATGTTACTCAGCTATCGAGTTCGTTATGCGAGATCGTGAATACCCTATTTTTTATTTAATAAGCATTTAAGTTTTGCTTCTATGGTTTTGGGCATAAAAAATATAAAAAACCTGATTAATTAATCGTTCAATCCTCCAAACGACTATAAGATCTATCGATAACTATTGGATTACACATTACAAGTAATTTCAATATTTTCCAGTATATATGGGGTATTCACGATCTCAAGAAAGGAGTTTTATTAGTCGACTAACTTAACTTACTTACTTACTGCTGTTGAGTAATATGGTAACACTGTAACGTGCTAACAACAAAACACATGTTGTAAAACTATATATATTATTAGGAACTAAAATTTTATAAATTCTTAAAATTCTATCCAATATATATTGCAATCGATGTAATCGTTTGTATGGTCCTTGAAAGTATTTAGGCTGAATTAACATAATTGTGCTGTAAGAAATCAGCTGACAGGTTCCAATGTAAGAAAAATAATACCTTTATTTATTTGTGTTGACGAATAAATAATAAGGGGAAACCATTTGAATTTTGGCTTCTTGATGTAAACATAAAAGAAATCTTATATCAGCTGATACAAACATTCAGCAATTGCATTGTATTTCTTTGTGTGCCAAATATTTAGTGATCGGATTGAACTTGTGTTTGTGTTTTTATGCTGTTTTGCTTTGTATATACTCCATTACAACTAATGACTTTACAACTAATGACTATATACTCCATTACAACTAATGTATTCTGCCGTTTACATACTCTACGTTTGGTACGATAAACGATTTTTTATAGTTGTAGATATATAGTCTTGCATTCATTGTTATACTCAGTGCTATCTGATATCAACATATCTTTCACATACCACTACAAGTGGGCAACAGACCTTATATACCGTCTCGTTGTGCACTATTCATTAGAGGAATAAATATACTGCCGAATGTGAATAAACATAAGATAAAGACTTACTGAATAATTTTAAGATGAAAGCAAATAGCTTTTTCTGTTAGAATTATATGGCATTTACACTGACCTCAAATGACTTATTTTGGTCCAAAATCAAAAATGAGAAGCAAATGACTCATTCTCAAGCGCAAATGAGATCCATCGGATATAATTCTGTATAAATGAGTTACAACGAGGTTGGAATGGGTTCCAAATGCAAATGAATACATTGAACCCTAAATAAAAGCTTTTCATGGCATTTTGACAGTTTGAGAAAGCTGTTTTTGACATATTTACATAAAAAG